TAAACGTGTGATGATATACATACGTATATATATATATATATATATATATATATATATATATACGGCGATATATACATATATGTAACACAATATAAGAGATTAGCAACTGCGACACCTGCGTCGCCATGATATACTTCTCTTGAATTACAGTCGTGACGTGATATGATGTTTCGTCGTGATGTTTTTACGTTTCGATTTCGATAACATTCGTCGACGGCGATTATGAGAATCGTGGAGCGTACGAGCGAGCGAGCGAGAAGATGCGCGATGCGAGAATGAGATCGTGCGATCAGTGGACAGTGTTGCGTGATGAGCGCGGGAGCCTATTGCGTGTAGCAACGTTATTAGTGTATATATTTGTATATAGATCCCTCATTTCCTCGCAATGTGTACCTGATTAATTAGCACGCTTTAATCGTAACTCCACGTTAAAACGCATCTATGCACGATGTCTGCTGTGCGGAAGAAAGCGAGTCGAAGGCCGACGAAAGAGCGGAGAGAGACTGATAATCTTGTAGGAGGTTAAGTGCTCGTGTAGTGTATATATATATGTACATGATATAAATATGTACTACCACTTATTCGTATTGCAAATTTATTTGTCGCTGCACTGTGCGAAATTTATCTAAAGTAAAAAAAAGATAAAGATTCTGTCAATATATATCTATAAAAAGTTACATAAATACAAATATAGTCTTTATTTGAGCTCAAATCTTTTAATTTGAAATAACATAAATTATATATAAGTGTTAATTCCTTTTTTAATAAATGTAGAATAACAAGAGACTGAACTAGTATGTTTAAAATAGAGGATTTTTTATAAATTAAAAAAAATTTGTTTCTATCTTGTAAATAATTATTATTTTTATATGGTAATTACTCAGTTTAGTCCTAATTTTTATTAAAAAATTAAACTCATTTGACACGCTTTTGATATTTTACAGCAGATATGACTATTGACGAATCCGCTAATGCTTTACGAATACCTGCAAAGTTTAAGAAATCGGTTAGAAATGTCTCTAATGAAGGTTAGAAAATAAATTATAATACTTTTAAAACATTTTTTATTGTTAAAGTGTAAATATGATAATTTGTTGTTTAAAGTAATTCTCAATATTTTACATATTTCTATTTTTCTGGTATTACACGAATTGGTATTGGACGAGATTTTAATTCTGTTATTTAAATGTTATTTAGTGAAACAGGAAGTAACAAAACAAGAAGAGGAATTAGTATGGGATGATACGGATGAGAACTTATTAAAAGATAATATGAAAGGAAGGAGGAATAGAAGATCAAAATGTCAAAATAATAATGATGAAGATGAAGGTAAACAGAAATACATTTTAATTAAACAAATATTTACAATGATAAAAATCATAAACATATAAAGTATCGTATATGAAGAAGTATTACAAAAATTTATTATGTTTGTTGACTAGGAGTTGATTACCCATCAGATATATGGTTTATTATCTCAGAATACATACAACCTGAAGCAGTAGGAAAATTTGCAAGGATTTGCAAAAGTTCTTACTACGTAACTACCACTGGAAAATTTTGGTTTCATTTATACAAGTCGTAAGTACTTTATTATATTGATTAATGGTATATAATTTAAAATCTATAAATTTATCTTTAAAGATAAAAATTATTTTCAAATTATATTGATATTTTTTTAATAGATTGATAGCGCTAAAATGTAACATATCTGTTAATATGATAAATATGAATGCAGTTGCGTGATTGTAGAATATATAATTTGTAAAATCAGATTGTAATTTTAGATATTACAAATTCGTACCATCTTTACCAGAGCGCTTGCAACCACAATGTCAGAGGTTACATGGACTAAGAGCTTGCGTTATCAGGGCATTACATTACAATTATTTTAGAACATCGGAAGGAGAAGGAGACGATATGTCTTACTTACGACAGGAGGAACCGCATTCTCTTGTGAAAAGAAAATGCATTCTCATGTGGCATAAAGTAAATTGCGAATAACTCTTTGTCCACATTTAAGCTCTAAGCTCAAGTAAACGTGTAGCTGTTCTTTCGTATATCTTTAACAGTAATTATGTAATTGTATTGAATTTAACGTTTTTTATTTCACGTTACGTGATAATATATAACGATGTTGTGGTGTGTCCTAGGAGGGGAAAGTACGGTGGTATTTCTATTTTAAGTTGAAGGAAGTTTCCAAAATACGTAACAGTCTGTTGAAGCAAAATAAACAGTATGATGTTAAAAAAACCGAATTTCTCGAAACATTGGAAGACGTGGCTGTTAATCCCGAAGACGGTTGCAAAGTGCTTAGGGTTTGTAACGTAGAATTTGTTTGTAATTTTTCGAAGAAATTAAATTAATTCATTCATACATTATATCCATTTTATTTGTGTGTGTATGTGTGTGTAATATATTTTAATATATATAATGATTTATGTGTAGGTGAGTTGCTTAAAGTATAGTATGTTACCACTGGTGATCGGGTTGGTCCTGCAAACAGTATCTATAAACTTAATGCCCGGCTTCAGAGAATACCGACTTCAACTTGGATTCGGAACATCCGATGTTCCTAGTACGTTAACAAATCAAATAATACTTCGTAATGTTATCGGATATAGTATCTTGAATTGGTGGGATCCCGCTTATCCTCATCAGGATGTGGGTTATACGATCGAATTGCCGCAAAACGACTCGTGGGAAATCTAAAATTTATTACAGATTGTTCTTATATTTTGTGTATTGGGGAAATAGAGAAGCCTTTAAATTTTATAAGACAAATATATCAACGCGTAACAAATGTAAAGTTGTTCGAATTAATACCTTTTATTTTTCATCAATTCATGAAAAATAAATTTCATTTTTCATTAAATCAATGATTTCAAAGTTATAATATCATTAAGAAAATGAAATATAAACAATCGAAATAATAGACAACACAAATTTTGTGCAAAAATGTTTTATGTACATTATTGTGTTATATAAAGTATATGTACATCAAAATAAAATCATAATATATGATTATAAATAATAATTTGGTTGATGTACCAATTTGATTGCAACAATTCGAATTAGAGATGTTTCTTACTTTCAAAACTTTTACAGTGACAGTGAGTAATAACTTACTAATTGACGACGTGTTTAAGTTGTTCCTGAAAACTGTACATTTTATATAATTTAATAAACAATTATTGCTGACAAATTTCATTTCTTAACAGCTGCTTCTACAGCATCTACCAATTCCTGCAGATGATGTATGTTTTCAGTTGAAATATTAAGATCTTTGACCTAAAAGATATAAGTAATTAGATATGAAAATATATTTTTTAAATGCATAATATTTTCTTACCATATTTGTGTAACCATCCACATCTACTTTAAGTTGAATACGTATTTTTTCGTCATCGCTGGTTCCCTGTGGTTCCGAAGGAAGAATTTCAGTGGATTTATCACGAATCTTTTTCAATCTCCTCAAACTCTCCTCAGTTTTTTGTACAAACGTTAACACATCCGTAACGAATAGTAAATAACTAAAATAAAATCCAATATTCTTACTATATGCATAATTAATTTTAAATAATTTTGAAAACCTTTTCAGATTTTTATATAACAATATCATTGAAGAAACAATAAAGAATAAATAAAAAGAAATTACTTACCTTTCTGTTAACGAGGATAAAGTTAGTTCTAACCAAAGAATAATACTTTCGGGAATGATCTTATTATATTCTGTATAAAAATTTGTAAGGGGAATCATCGCGCTCTTTACATAAGAACAAGGTTTAGTCGGCACATCTCGCTTTGTTCTTCTAAACAGTCGAGGAATGTCACTAACTTGTTTCAAGTGTGTTACACATTGCTCTGAGAGCTCATTCACGATTTCTTTCGTAACTAAAGGCAAAAGATTGGCTAGACCGTTCGATGTTTCACCTAGAGAGTCTAAAATACACAAGAATTGATAAACTAAATCTTAATACTTTAAGATAATATATATTTGTAATTCATATATATATTACCTTCTAATAATTTCGATATTGTAACAGTCTCGTCTTTAATTTTTGACTGTACCATTTGTAAGAAAGATGGTAAAATATTTATCAATTTTTCTATATCAATATACAAATACACTAGAAAATTCACTCTCGTAGAACGTTCCGAGTCATTTGAATTATTAGTTTCGTTTATCACTGGCCATATCTTTAAATAGAAGTTAGAATAGAATAAAAGTTGTTATACTTTCTATATATACATAGATTTGTCTACTTCATTGTCTACGCATGCACACATATACATAAGTTGAATATAAAAACGTACTTGTTTCATTGCACTCTGACACCAAGTTTGATATCTCGAGCTTATTTGAAGACTGAGTTTCCAGAATCTGATAATAGTAACATTGTATTAGTTTTAATCGCGAGGAGATTAAGATTGAAATGAAAATGATTCAGATTATAAAGTGGCTTTTACCTGTGAAATAGTTGGTATAAATAGATGTCATCAGTCCAAATCCTAAGCAAATTATCCCAAACCACATCGGTTGCATGAAGTGAGAACTCTTTTTGCGTTAGAGATGTCAAACTAGCTTTAATTGAGTCCGGCGATATTGGCTCAGCTAACACTGCCTCTACAGTGCCTGCTATTTCTTGAAACCGAATTTGAAAATACACTGGCAAATTCCATTTCTTGAGAAAATTCTTGTATTGTGGATGATTTCTCAGTGCCGCTAAAATTTCGGGCGTAATGCATTCTGTTTCTAACTTTGTTAAAAATTCTAACGTAGCTGTATACCTCTGAAATTGTGATGACTTATATATTTCTATCTGGGCATTGATATTACACATTTTTTAATATTTCACTTACTTTATGAAATAGTACCGGATCTCCCGGAGCAAAAATGGATTTTATATATTGCTCGATTTTTTCTTCGATCTCAACCCAAAAGCTATTCACCAAAAAATTAAATCCTTTCACAGACATTCTGTAACATCAATATAATATTCTTATTGTTCTTATTATCAATATAATAATTGGTGTAT